AGGTGAAGAACGCCTAAGAGCCAGAGCCCAAGCAGATCCCATGGAGGAACCCAGCACCACCTGCCGACACGCGAGACGGGAAGCATAGAACAGGGAAACCGCATCCCGCAAAATCGGCGTGAACAGCTTCAACAAGGCAGCCGACGAACGCGCAGCCGAGGACAAGGTGCCGGACCCCAGGACGGACCCAAGCGTCCCCACATCCTCCACGAGCCAATCCGAAGACAGCTCCAGGAGGGAAAAGAACCGCAAGGCCGAACACAAAAGGCCCCGAGCGTGCAAGTCCCCCGCCACGAGCGCCACCGAAAGGGAGGGAACCTGCACATGGAGCTGAATAACGCCCACATCGCGGGGAAGGGCAGGGGCAAACAAGCACTCATTCAGGTACTCAAGTTCACCCCCCAGGAAAATCTGAAGCACCGTGGAAGCTTCCCGCCACTCCAGCGCGCGGGAACGACAGAAGGAATGCCAGGAATCCAGACCAAACAAGGGGCAGTCTGCTAGCCAGGACGACTCCGGAACCTCGTAACGGAGCCAGAAAGGGAACGAAGTCCCAAACCTGAAAGTGGACGGATCCATTTCCGAGGCATAATCCGGGTCACGCAGGAGGTAAGCTGCAAAGGCCGCTCGCACCACACCAGGTTGGATGCGATAAGCCGAAAACCTCCGGAAGGACGGAACCGTACCCGGGGAGGGGCCTACACCAAATCCAACTCGTACGCAGAGGGGGGGAAAGAAAACCCCACTCCTTGTAACAATAAGCCCCGCTCAGTGGGAAGAAAAACCCAGGCGGGGTCCAGCGGGGCCCAAGGCCCCCAAGTCAGCCCCTCCCCAGCCTCGAGGTCCGTCACCACAGGACCCGAGGCCGAGTCATCTCCCCAAGCCCCGACCCCACAAGACAAGGACGGAGCAGCCGGAAAAGCTGGAGGAAGAGGGGCCCACTGGTCAGACCCTGAAGCTTCGGCCAGGAGACAAGACTCGAATGCCTCTGCCGCCCCCCCGGAAGGGGCACCCCCCGAAGCTGCCCGAGTCTCGAGATCAAGTAACCCCTGCTCCGACCCCGAAACCCTCAGACGCTTCGGGGCCGGAAGCAGGGGCGGGGGACCAGAACGAACAGAAGGGGAAGGACGAGGAGGTGCGGACTGAACCAGGATCGAAGCGACCCCCACCCCCAAGTCCGGGTCTCGAAAAGCAAAGTGGGACAGCCCCGGGGCATCCAGGGAAGCAACCAACCGAGCACGTTGCAACAGACGAAACCTAGACTGCAACGCACGTGCCGCCTGTACCCGAATAGAATCAGAGGATTGGGTAAATTGAGTCACAAGCAAGCAGCAACACTCACAGGACTCAGGGTCGAAAGTATCACCGACCCAACAGGCAGCGTGGCAGAGGCAAAAACAATGAGGGTCACCCTGAGACAAGGGGACCGAGCAACCCTCAAACTCGCACACAGCGAGTGGGGACTCCGGGGTCACATCCATCGGACCCACGCGCCCCCTAGGGGATTCCCAGGGTCCTGAGCGTTTACTTTAAGAGGACTCGCGCTCAGGTAGTCCCAGGCAGGGTGCTGCAAACCGGCGCCCAAAACTACCAAGCAAACTTCTAAAGCTGAACCCCAGGGACGTGTACACTCACGGGGACCTAGCAGGGGGCGCCACCGATGAGAACAGTGGAAGGGCAAAAACAAACTGAATAAAATGACAGAACCCCCCGCCAGGCAAAAACAAAAAGAAAAACAAAACCCCGCAAGAGGACAGCGAACCCCAAGGAACAAAGCCGGCCGCGATGTCGGGAAATACAAGCTGAGCAGCACCCTGCGCCCCTACCAGTGCAAACTGCCTCTTACCTGCCGGTAACAAGGGAGAACAGAACACCCAAGAGCCCAACAGGCGGCCGAAAAACCGAAAGGTAAAACGGACCAGCAGAGGCAGACCCCGAGGAGCCTGTGGAAGGTGGCCCCAAGCCCCAAGGGCAGTACTTACAGGGCACCTAGGGAAGGCAGCCCTAGGCGCATGCAGCCCGAGTACTGAAGATAACTCCTGGCTCTCGCACCCACAAAACTAACACCACACGCAAAGCACAGTGCAGTAGCGACACCGGAGCCAGAGCACACGACCATCGCCTATAGCATCAGCCTCAAGAACTGAGGTGTGGGTAGCCGGCGCGGGGGGTCTGGGGCTCCCCCTTCCCCCTCCCGGGGAGGGGGGAGCTGCGCAGACAGCGGCGCGGCAGTGTGTGACGTCACACTAGTTTGCTTGTTTTTGGTTGGGGAGTTCTATCCACTAGTTCGGTTTTAGGTAGCAATTTTAACCAGAATAGGGGTTTGTTTTGGGGCGCTTACCTTTCTGGGTGCCTGTTCCGGTCGATGGCAGACATAGAATGCTCCCACTAACACGGGGGCTTCTATAGGCCATTGCTCCCCTTGCCTCTCTGAGGGGGCCCGGTTCTGGCCGTGGTCCCCGGTAGGCCTAAGAACTCCATACACATGACTGATGCCAAAGTCTGATATTAGCATATCAGCCTGGGATAGCTCCGGGGAGCCGACGGGGCTCCCCCCAGAAAGAGTAGTGTACAATGCATATCGCAAAATATATCCCAGTGGGAAGGCCAGCAGGCAAAGTTCTCATAACACTAGCTGATAATGGTCCCACTACTGCAGAATGACCATCCACAAGAGAAAGGGAAGCTATCCTGGAGTCCCAGACCAACAACACACACATCAACAACTTGAAAGGAGTGAGCACAGACTTTGCCAGTTCATGAGATTCAAACTGTGCAAACTGGGTAAACACGAAATCCCTGGTTAATTGACAATTTGGATGACTGGAAGCCAAAACTAGCCAGCCTCATAGGTATGACAGAACCAGGTGATGGTGAAGCACCAAGAAAGGCCAGTGAACATTCTGAGCACCAAGATTAGCCCAAAAGAAAGAACCCAAATGTGATAGTATAAAACCAGTGTTGAATGTAATGAAACACCGACTTTTGAGTGAGCCCCGGAGGCTCCCTGAAGCTATCATACTGATTAAGTGCCATACTACTTGAGTGTCATCAATCACAGTTCTTTTTGCCTACTGAGGACCACGAGCCAGAACCTGGGCCCCCTTCAGAGAGGTGAAGAGACCGATGGCCTATGAACACTTTACATTTAAAGTGTATCATCTTTGCCACCACCAGGGAAGCACCAAGAAAGATAGGCGAATCAAAACAAACTACTGCACGATTTGAAAATGAGACTGAAGCTCTAATATTGCAAAAACAACTCCCCCACAATGAAAACAAAGAACCAAAACTTCGTCCAACCCCCCAACTCCCCTAGTTAGCTCCATCTCATACCTCATTGGGGGGAGGAGGCAGCCGGTCCTGGTTAGCCAGTCAGTTCGAGAATAATGAAAAACTGCCGACTGGAGGAAGGGAGGGTGTCAGAGAGCCTCCAGGGCTCACCTAGAAATTGGCATTTCATTATATTCAATACTGGTTTTCTGGGGAAAGCCCTGCACTCCCTGAAGCTAACTACCCACAGAGAAGGACAAAATAGGGGGGAACTTATCAGGGAGGCGGCAGCACTGCAGGTATCAAGTTGAAGGTGAGACTAAAGGCTGCAACACATGCCCCAGAGCCAAGGGCCATGTGTTGTGAAAAGACCACACACATACAAGGCCGCAGAGGACCAGGAACGTTAACAAGACACCTGGCAGCAACGACCGTGGTAGACTGCCAAAACCCCCGAGCCCGAATATTGGCCCAAGACATAAGACCAGATTAGCTGACAGAGCAGTGTACAACGGAACATCGTGAGCATGAGAGTAGACTGCAGTCTGGCTAGCTGTAATGACAATGAAGACAACCAGACACACATGAGCCCTGGAACATGGACAAGGGAAACCGGAGCCACTCACAATGTGAACACCAAAACAGAATCAGTGGTCCGAAAGCAACGGAGTAAAGCCGCAACAGACACGGTGCATGACGCACCCCCGGCCGAAACAAGCATGCATCAACCACTAAAGGACCCCTCTGGAAGCCTGCAGACTCATTCATATGCATGAAAAGAAGGAGCTGGCTGCAACCTAACACAAAGCTGGCACTGGGTGTAACTAGCAGGGGTAACATCCTAATTACTGTACTCCTAATTGTCAGGGCTGCTCATATTTTCCTTGCCGTTGTCTATTTTGGTTCACTCTACTTTTCTGGTGGGTTTTCCTCTTGGCTTTGGTGATTTAGTATCCCTTGCTCACTTTAACTAAACAAAGCTGCGAAGAAATATAAGAAAATTCACTTTCACAAATGGTGTTAGATGGTTGGAACAAGCTAAGTGAGACGGTGGTAGAGGCCAAAACCATCAATATGTAGTTTCAAAGATAGGACAAAGTGATGGGAAGATGGGACACCACGAGCATAGCTCTCATCATATAAATACAATTAGGTAATTACTGTGTCTCTGAATGGATCTGGTTTTGACTTCTAGTCTATGGTAGGTTTTCTTTGACTCTCAAGAGCCTGGTATGACATAATATGTGTAGAGCTATCCAGGCAGCCAGCACCAAGGTTGAGCCATCAAGGGGGGGCCCTACCTGAAAGGTCAGTTCTTGCCGATAGTGAAGTGATTTGTACCATGCATGCAAGTGAAGAGTCACACAGGCTGGACCCCTGGGTGATTTGAGCTGCCACCTGGTGGTACACTTGGATATTAATGCATCGTTTGTTGACATTGGGCAAACAACCACTTCCCTTGCTTCCACCATTTCTCTTCAGTCAAGATATGTACTTTCTGTTTTGTTTTTTTTACTCTCATGAGGTTAATCTAAATCTCCAGATTCTACTCCTGTGTTCAGTAGGCCTATGCAAGTTGAGAGGCCTGGTAGTTTTGTGGATGTATGGCACCAGGGAGCTACCGAGGACCGGCTCAGAATATCCGTCAACACATGAATCTTATGCTTAACTATCATTTAAGAGTACATTACATCATGTCTTATAAATAAATACTATAAATTACTCACCTTGTTTTAGAGCTGCTGTTGGAAAGATCTCTTATATTTTGCAACATGTTTTTTTCTGGCTTCAACTGAGGTTGAAAATCAGGAGTACCACGTGTTTGGGGGCTAAATTTAAGAAAAAATCAGGTATTGTTCAAAATCAGGAAAAAATTTGGAAAATCAAGAGGTGCTTGACACCACAGCATCTTAGAGGATTTCCTGATCACATGACTTGCATAATATGAAGTCTCAATGGCAAGAGGATGAACATTCCTTCAAGGACGAGAGAAGTCAGAGAAAAATCCTGGAGATGAAAGAGGTCAGAGAACAAAAATTCCTGGAGATGAAAGAGGTCTGAGAATAAGAAGTCCTTGAGATGAAAGAACCAGCATTCAATGTAATGAAATGCCAGTTTCTGGGTGAGCCCCTAAGGCTCCCTGAGGCTCCCTGAGGTTAGCATACTGATTAATTGCTATACTACTCCAGTGTCATCAGTCGCATTCTTTTTGCCTACCAGGGACCACGAGCCAGAACCTCGCCCTGTATGGAGCAACACTTGGCAAAATGGAATTTAATGTGAATAAATGCCACATTATGTAATGTAGAATAGGAGAAAATAGGCCCCATTCAATCTACAAATTATGTGAAAAGCTTTAACCACTGTACTGCGTACACCGTGCTATCATGGGAAAAGGGGGTGTGCACACAAGCATATTACATTTGTTAGTACTATACTGTATATCATAAGATTCAAAACTTCCATGGGTACATGGGGCTCACATCCTGGTCCTCAGGACTCCAGTAAACTGACACCATATTGAAAAAAAAAACAGTGTTGAATGTAACTACAGAAAATTAAAAGAGGGACTTACCCAGGAGGCGGCCGCCACTCACACCTCAACTCGAAGTTGAGACAATTGGTTGCAACCTGTGACCCAAAGAGACACACACCCCACTAGGACCAGGAACATAAATGAGGTAATGGGCGACCAGAACCCTGTTCGACCTTCAAAACCCTCGTGCCTGTATGTCAGTATTGCCATAAATGGCATAATGCAGCAAATTTGCAAACGTCATGGACATGAGCATAGAACGCATGCTGGCTGGACTGAATAACCCTGTGTACGACCTGGGAGACCCGAGCCCTGGAACAGAAAAGAAGGAAAACCGGGTCAACCCAAAGCGTGTCCCCAGGTACCGAGACTGTGGCATACAGACAGCGTCTAAGAGCCGCAACCAGACACAATACATGATGAACCACCGGCCGAACCAACCAAGCATCAACCACCCAAGGACCCCTCCGGAAAGATGCCGTCTTGTTTTTTGCCAGAACAGAAGGAGAAGGCTGCAAATGAACAAACCTACCACCAGGACCGAAAAAGCAGAAACACCTGCGCCGGAGGAGAGCATGAAGCTCCCCGACCCAACCCCCAGAGGCCAATGCCAACAAGAAAAGAGCCTTATCAAAACAATCCTGAACCGAAGGGGCCACCACAAACCGGGAAGAGAGAAAGACAGCACCTGGTCCAACAACCAGAATGGCTCAGGCGACGCATGACCAGCAGGCTGAAGTCGAGATAACAGCCTGCAACCCCTTCGACCCAAAGCGACACACGCCCGACTAGGCCCAGGAACATTCACGAGGAAGTGTGCAGCCAGGACCCTGTTCGACCATCAAAAGCCCTGTGCCCGATTGTCAGCCCAGGACATGTTACTGAAGACGGCAGCAAGTGCAGCAAACTTATGAACGTCATGGGCACGGGGATCGACCGCAGGCTGGCTAGACCGAATAACCCTGTGGACAACCTGAGAGACCCGAACCTGGGAACAGAGAAGAAGGGAAACCGGATCAACCCAAAGCACATTCCCGGCCACAGAGGCTGTGGCGTGCAAATAACAACGGAGAACTGCAACTGGACACAATGCATGATGCACCCCCAGCCTGACCAACCAAGCATCAACAACCCTAGGACCCCTTTGGAATGCAGCGGTCTCATTCTTCGCCAGAAAAGGAGATGGTTGCAAACGAATAAACCTATCACCTTGACCAAAAGAGCAGAAACCCCTGTGCTAGAGGAGAGCATGAAGCTCCCCGATCCGACCCCCCCAGAGACTAATCCAACAAGAAAAGAGCTTTGGAAAAAAAGCCTGAACAGAAGGGGCCATAACAAACTGAGGAGAAGATAGATAAGAAAGGACCCTTACAAAGTAAAGGTGGGAAGATACATCTCATATGTACAAAGTAAAGGGGAAAAGATACATATGTACAAAGGGAAAAGACATCCTTTGATTACAAAATAAGAGGGACAGGACATATTCTGTGAGTACAAAGTAAGGGGGGAGGGGGAAAAACACATCCTGAGAGTACAAAAGGGAAAAGGCACATCATGATAAAAAGATAAAAATATAAATAAATAGTTAAACAAAATGTGGACAAGAACCTGGGAAGGACAAAATAAAAAATAGTGGCATCTTCTGGGAACATGTGTACATGAATAATGAAAGAAAGGAAAGATGGGTAATGTGATCAGTGGGTATTTTTAGTGAATTAATATCAGGATGATAATCCATGAAGAAATTAGATGTATAGAGTAATTTTAAAATTCTGAAGGGTGGAATTATTGTGAGATACAAATGTGAATACACTTAGTTTTGTTGGTGCAAGAAAGTAAGATTTACTACTAGAAGATAAAGGTTGTGACATAGGCAAGAGAGTAAGATTTACTACTAGAAGACAAAGGTTGTGACATAGGCAAGAGAGTAAGATTTACTACTAGAAAACAAAGGTTGTGACATAGGCAAGAGAGTAAGATTTACTACTAGAAAACAAAGGTTGTGACATAGGCAAGAGAGTAAGATTTACTACTAGAAGACAAAGGTTGTGACATAGGCAAGGGATCAGTGGCTAAGTTAAAATGCGTAAAAAGCAGCAAAAGTAAATTAAATATTGTACAGTATGTGGAGAAATTACAGTATTGTATTCTGTATTAATAAATTGGAGATAAAGGAATAAGATGATTGTATATTTATCAAAGATGTTTGAAAAGTGTCATTGTATCACTGTACAAAGAGCCAACATTGAAGTGCATGCATGCCATTTACGAAGCTGAAGGGATAACTAGAAACTATACAGGATGGTTGGAATGGAGGAATGTTTTCAAGTCCAGCAAAAAGTCATATGAATGCAGTTACAACAACATAACTGCAAGTTAGCTTGTATCTGCAGGCACTAGCAATGCTCTCTTCTGACATGGTAGGGATTCTTAATCATCTTATACATTTGTCATCCAATACATTGGTCTTCCTCTAACAATCTTTTCTGCCAGGAGTCGTCACAGATGCTGCCTCGTCAAACCGGTTCTCACACACATGAACTCTAGTCCTGGCTTTATTGTTGTTGATTCTTGCCTTTCTCAGTACACACTTCTGCATTCTAGTGTTGTAGTCTTCTTAACAAAGGTCATCTAACTTAGCTTTAGCCCCTCTAGGATCTCTTCTCTCTCTTCTGTTGCTATCTTCTTTATTGTTATTTCACCACTTTATTTTCACCGCTAGGCCTTCTGCAGTTTTCATTATACTGAACCTATTAACTCCTATGGTATACTTCTTACCTTCTCACCTCTCGCCTCACAATCTTATCGTATATATTGACTTTCTCTACCACCAATCTTTCTGTACGACTTGACGATGGTCCAGGACATAGCAAAAGGTCGTCACTTCCTTCATTTTCCGATGTGTGGGTTGGGTGTTTAACCCTTCAGCTGCACGAATCATACAGAGTCATGCCGTGTCTGACCCCATGCCTCGGTCCACCAGCTCACAGCACCACCATGAAGCTTATGCCTACAGCATCACTTAATTATGAAGAAATAAGGAACTGCAGTTATTTTGCAATAATAGTGTTAGAGAAGATCCCGACTGTGATATAGACTATGTACAAGGTTCAGATATCATTAATCTAATCATATAACCATGCTCATTGTTGACGACCTGAACATTATGTCATGAGACGTCATTCTTCTCATATCCTTGTCGTCTTGGCCGCGATGTTGGGTGACTTGGTATGCTTCACCTGTCCCTGTTATGCCTGGCTGACATCAGCCGTCTTGTGTTGCCCGAGCTGGTTTTAGCGGTCTGTCTAATTACCTAAAGCTATCCAAAGTCACTCAAAACCACCCAAAGCTTCCTGGCATTACGTTAGTAATGAATAAATATGATATATTTACTCATTATAATGTTGGTGCTGAATGTAGAACATGGAAAAACATATTTTTACTCTGAAAAAGTATCATTTCATAACAAAAAATAAACGAAAATAAGCTGCTGGTGAGGCCAAAGCAAGTCAAAGGTCCAAGCGGCAATGTTGTGGAGCGACTTATCCAAGACACACTGTTGAGTACAGGTTATATTAACTTTAGCTTGGATAGATTAGGTTTAGTTAGGTTAGGTTAGGTTTTGTTAGGTTATGTTTTGTTAGCTTCTGTTTGGGTAGGTAGGTTAGGTTTGGTAGGTACAGGAGGCTGATATGCCAGCAAATATTCTTTAGGCAATAATGTGACTTGGATAAGTCGCTCCACAACATTGTCGCTTGGACCGTCGACTTACTTTGACGTCACCAGCAGCTTATTTTCGTCTAATTTCGTTATGAAATGATACTTTTTCAGAGTAAAAATATGTTTTTCCATGTTCTACATTCAGTACCAACATTATAATGAGTAAATATATCATATTTATTCATTACTAACGTAATGCCAGGAAGTTTTGGGTGGCTTTGATTGGCTTTGGGTAATTAGACAGACCCGGTTTTAGTGTTGACTGTCTGTTGCTTCCAGCTATTGTTGCCTGTTTTTCCAATTCTGGACACAACATTTTGGACTAGTTTTTCAGGGACCGTTAATACAACAGAAGTTATCATGGAGGTCAAGAGATAGACAACAATTTTAATGTAAAAACATAAATGCACTACAACTGGGAAACTAAATAAACCACATGGCATACCTGTGTTTGACGTCCAACAGGGATCCTCCTTTTAGCAATCTCTATAAATTACAAATGAACATCATTTTCTTTAAAATGTAAACGTGTGGGCACTAAAGGAGCCGTATGTCACACCTGTGTTTGATGATGTCCAGCAGAGATCCGCCACCTAGCAGCTTCAGCACCAACCACAGCTCCTCCTTCACTACGAATGATGTGTAATACGTTACCACATTCTCATGGTGACAAAGAGACATCGCTTGGATTTCCTTCTGCAGAAGGAATATCAGTAATTTATATTAATAATATTATTTAAAATTATTGTATATAAAATATAATAAAAAACAAGCACCGATTGTAATGAAATGGTAATTACTGGGGTGGCCCTGAAGGCTCCCTGAATCTATCATAGACTGATCAGTGCCATACTACAAGGTACCGTCAGTGGAAGAGATATATTGGCCTACCAGGGACCACTATCACAACCTGGTCCCCTCAGAGAATTGCAGGGAGCAATGGCATATGAGCACTTCACATTTAAAGTTAATCATAATTGCCAATAACTTGTAAAATATAGGTATGAATATGTGTATAAATACACACACACACACACCATGTATTTATTCACACTAATTTATATATACGCCTAAATATAAGCCTAAATTTTATAACTGGACACAACACGCATTTTGCCAGAAATATATAATGGCAATCCCTCATTTGCTGCTGATCAAATTTCAGTGGCTCCTAGTATGACCGCCCTGCTCGTTCATACACCGGAGGATGATGTTGCAAGATATGGTCCTCATATTTTTACTAAGGCCCTAGAAGAAAAGTGAGGGACTCAGAATTATTTTCAAACATGGGGGATTGTTACTAAAGCCTGAGGAAGCAACTGTGAGCCCCATGCCTGTGCAAGACTTTTAAATCTTTTCCCTACTACTTCATATGATGGGAGGCACAGGCGGAGCACAATTAGGTACCCCAATCGTATGATGTAATGCACAGCTGAAGGGTTAAGGATGAGGACCACCCCAAGCAAGGAAGCCTCCTAACAGGAGAGTATCCAGAACACCCAAGGAAAGACAACCCTGTGCTTATGCAGCTCCAAGTACACTAAACTCCTGGCTCACACACCCCTGCATAAACAGCCTCAAAGGTAAAACACTACTTTATAAAACAGAAGACTAGAGCCGGAGTGACTAGGACAGCCACCAAGCACCATCAGAATAGAACCTATTGTGATGGGGCCTGGCTCACCCGGCTCCCCCCCCCCTCCTCCCCCAAAATGAGAGGGGAGGTGAGACAAAATTACCAAAATTTTAGTGGTTTGTTTTTATTGTTGGGGAGTTCTTTTGATGATTTTTGAGGCAGCCGTCTCGTTTTAACCATGCAGTTGTTTGATTTGTTTTGCCTAACTTTCTGGGTGCCTTTCCTGGTGATGACAATTATGATTAACTTTAAATGTAAAGTGTTCATAGGTCATGTTCCCTAAACACACTGATGGGGGCCAGGTTTTGGCTCGTGATCCCCCCAGGAGGCCAATAGAACTCTGCGACTGATGGCACCTTGTAGTATGGCACTCATTAGTGTGTGATACCTTCAGGGAGCCAACAGGACTCCATGCCCAAGCATGAGCGTCACAAGCATATGACACCTGGACGCAAGAATCCTACAAAGAAATCAGATAAAATGTAAAGGTTTTAACTTCAAAATGATACTTTTCTGTGGGGAGCTCCTACAGCTCTCTGGAGCTATCAGGCTAATGTGTGATATATTAGACTGGGGCATTAGTCTATGGAGTTCAACCTACTGGGGACCACGAGCCAGAACTGGTCCCCCTCAGAGAGGTTTCAGAGAGCAATGGCCCTGGAAAACCCCCCTGTGGTTGGGGTTTTTCCTTATCTGCCATCAACTGGGATTAGGCACCCACAAATGTAGGCATAACAAAACAAATCCCACATGGTGAGAAAAGGACAACAAAAAACAAAAAAAAAAGAGGCAGACGTCCCTTTAACTCCAAGGAAACAAGCAAACACCAGACTCCACTTTCGCGCCGCTTGTCCGCTCAGCCCTCCCCTCCCCGCGCCAGCTACCTAGCACTCCAGTTCCCTAGGTAACGTGTTACATTACAGCGGTAATGTAACCTCTGCAGTGTTGTTGTGTGTGGGTGGCCAGGTGTCCTCATCAGTACCGAAGATGCATGACCTTAGGGGCATCCTTCCTTAGGCGCCCTATGAGTACTGCCCTTACGTGATAGGGTTGCCTTCCCTGGTGCATTTGGGACGCCATTTCCGTAGGGGTTTTTGCTGCTCGGCATTTACCCCACCCTTGGGGCCAGCTGGAGTTTTGTGGCCCTTGTTTGGCCTTGGGTATGGAGTGGTATTGTGCTGGTTAGGGCATTAATGTGTTGAGCAGCCTGTCTACCTATGCAGCGGCCAGTTCCTGTTGCCTCTGGGGACGTCGTAGTTTTGCGGGGGTTTTCTTTTGTTTTTTTGTGGTGGTGGACAGCTCTGCCCCAGAGCATCTGTTGCAGGTTTCCAGGGCTTTGGGGGGGGGGGGGAACCCACTAGCAGTTCTGGGGCTGTCTGCCCCTGCTTGCGTTTTCTGCCTTCTGGGCGGGGTTTTTTTGTCCCTCTTGTCTACTTTATTATTTCGCATTTGCTGACGTGATTTCAGATTTCTTGCATTAGCCACGTCTCCTTTTCTTATGGTGACCATTTTTTTTTCTGCGGGGTCGCTTTCCCGCCTGGCCACCAGGGCGGCACTGCGGTTTGTTTGCTTACATGTCCCTGGAAGTATGAGCTTGCATTTTGGGGGATTTTTTTTCGCCTTCGCCGAAGGTTTTATCCTCCCATTGCCGTTTCTCTGTTTTGTTCTTTCTTCTAAGGAGTTCTGCCCTTCTTCTGTTCCTCTGGGAACATTTGGGCGTTCGTTTTTTCATACAGTTTTGTGTTTTCTGTCTATGTCTTGGTCTGGGCCCTGGGGTTTGGGCCCAGTGTCCCTGGTTGTTTGCTATGCTTGCTCCTCATGCCTTTTTATCACTCTTGTTTTCAGTCTGTTTCTGGCTGTTTCACAAGGGGTACAGTATTGGTGATGTGTTTATGTGTTTTGCCCTTCCTCTCTGTGGTGCATTTCTGCTGGCAAATGTGGTGGTTTGGGCTTCCCCCGGGTTTGATTCCGGAATCCTTTGGACTTTTCGGTTTCATTCCAGAGCTTTTCTTCCTCTCAGGTCCCCTTTGGGGGTTCTGGAGGCCCTTGGTTACCTCTTGTGCGCCCCAGGTCTTCCTCTTCTGGAGTTCCGGGGTCTTCCTGGCTTGCAGACTAAGCTCTTCTTGGATCATGGACCGTGTTTCGTGATCGTGCTGGGGCTTCGGCTTTTGTTGTCGAGGTGGGCCTTTGATGCAGATTTTGTGCTAGTGCATCCTCCGGTGCCTTCATTTCTGGCCAGTGCGGTGCTCACTCTGCTTGCCAGTCGGCTTCTTGCCTTTTTCTTTTTCTTTTTTCTTTCCAAATTTTTTGTTTTCTCTCGGAGGGGGCACCGGTCCGGTCGCTGTTAACAGGGCGATGAGGGGGGGGGGAGAGGCAGCTCGGTCTGTTTGCTCACGCTTGGTCCCATGATCCGTGGGCATTTTCGGCTCTGTCATCCGGCCTATGGTGGCGTTAGGTGGCTGTTACTTCTTCGGGGGATTCGGGGCTGGTGGGGCAGGCTTCTTTCCTTGCGCTTCGTCAGGTCATCATGGAGTGGGTATGCTTGGGCGTGGTCGGAACGACCCCCTCCCTCAGGTGGGTTTCCCGCCTGTTTCCAGTGCCAAAATGGGACTGTGAATCTGAGGTTCTTTCTGAACTTGTCCTGTCTGAACCCCTGGATTCCTTGCCCCTCCTTTCGGATGGCCACTCTGTCTCGGGTCCTGCTTCTTTTGGAACCAGATGTGAGGATAATGTCCCTGGATCTCATAGACGTGTATTGGCACATTCCGATTCGTCTGAGGTTCACAGACTGGTTAGGTCTCGTGGTGGAGCATCAGGCTTACTGCTTTCGTTGCCTTTAGGCTTGAATCTGGTACCTTCCGTATTCGCACATCTCAACCAGTTCATGGTGACTTGTCTATGTCTGTTAGGGGTTCGAATCCTGGTCTACCTCGATGACTGGCTGGTGTGGGCTCTCAATCGGTCCGCTTGTTTGCTTGCCAGGGGTCTGGTTCTTTCCCAGCTCACCGGGTTCGGGTTCCTGGTGAACTTTAGGAAGTCCAGTCTGGTTCCGTCCCAGGTTCGGACCTGGCTGGGTCTTGTTTGCGACTCTTGAACCGCTTCCATGTATTCACCTAGTTGTGCTTGCGGGGGTTGAGCTCTGGCTCTTTCAGTCCGCCTCTCAACTGTCAATCAACTTTTTTTTTTTTCACACACGTACACACACCCAGGAAGCAACCCAAAGCAGCTGTCTAACTCCCAGGTACCTATTTACTGCTAGGAAACTGGGGCATCAGGGTGAAAGAAACTCTGCCCATTTGTTTCTGCCGGTGCCGGGGATCGAACCAGGACCCTTAGGACTACAAACCCGAGCACTGTCCACTCAGCCACCAGCCCCATGTCTCTCCCTCCGGAAGCGCTGCTGAGATTGCAGCCCCGCCTTCGGCTTTTCTGAGGGGCATTCTGGGTCTCTCGGCGGTTGCTGCGTTGCCAACTTCTTCTTCTGGGTTTCCGGAATTCAGTGCCATGGCGCCTACCTGAGCCCTCGCTCTATGTGTTCACGGACACGTCGTCTCTTGGCTGGGGCTTTGTGACCAGTGCTCGCAAGGCCAGCCAATGGCTATGGGGGTTCGTCCTACCGTCTGGCTTACAGAACGGTGTGGGAGTTCACGGCGGTTTGGATGTAGCTTCGGAGGGTTCGGCTTGCTTGAGGTTCGACCATCTGGCTCCATTTGGACTCTTTTCCGGTGGTTCATTGCCTGAACAACGAGGGTTCTCTTTGGTCCTTGCCTCTTTGGGGCTGGCCTCTTCGAGTAGCTCGTCTGCTGGATTCTCGGGTTTGGCTCTCCATGCGGTTCATATTCGGGAAGTGTCCAATGTCCTGGCGGATGGTCTGTCTCGGTTCATTCCACTGTTCACAGAATGGACGGTCGATGCCGATTCCTTCCGTTGGCTCTGCCGGACATACGAACTCCTGAACGTGGACCTTTTCGCATCCCTGTGGTCTCAGCATCTCCCGATCTATCTAGCGACCTTTCCCAACTGCGAGGCTGTCGCTGTGGACGCCTTTTGGCAGGACTGG